ATTACATGGGACTCATAACATAAATAGTGAAAAGTGGGTGTTACTTCTGTGTGCACCTCTGCCTACCCATTCGGGGATAAAAGGCGTGATGTTATGTTATGTTATGTATTGTATTGGTTTATTTTATCTGGCATACACTTTGTAGCTCTTAAAATATTATAGTCTAGGTGATAGAATAATCTATAGACCTGCAAAATTAAAACCGTTTAGGCTTTTTATAGTCTTACAAATGTACGAATGACGTGAAATGCTTCAACTGAAACTATTTTTTTAAAAAGAATGCTTTGCCACACACAAGGATTATCTCCTGTGTCGTGAGTGTGTTTACAATGCAAGTTCAGATTACACCGAGACCCGAAACAACAATAAAATTTGTGGATCACACAGAGTTGTTCCGTGCGGGAATCGAACCCGCGACATGCTATTCGGCAGCCGGTTGCATTCATCAAATTAGACATCAGCAATGGTTTACAATTAAAAACATTTGAATTTAATAAAGTTATTGAACTTCTTAAATACCTGACATATACATAGATAGTATACCTACTAAGTACTTTATTTATCTATAGAACTGTATATTGATTCTAAACTATCTAAATTATGTAGACTATCCCACTTCAAGTGAACTCAGTGAAGGTTTGAATCTCTGTATTTAATGTATACGCGAAACATGTCAGAACATGTCAGAATTTAGAACAGTTACCAAGTAACCAGACTTGGATACGTTCAAGTGTAGAATAATAAAATTAAATCAGGCTTGAACCCACACATTGAGTAGAATTTTAATATAATATTGTTTGTTTTCACAGTGTTGTCAGAATAGTTTATTATTGTGCTTATTTCGAGGGCAACGAATTGTATTGTCTAACATCTAGATTTTTATTAAAATAAAATCTTTTTAAATCAAGGTACTCATAAAGATAGGTACAAATAATGAGATTCCCACCTAAATTCAGTGTTCACTACATAGTATAAAACAAAGTCGCTGTCCGCCGTCTGTCTGTCCCTATGTATGCTAAGGTCTTTAAAACTACGCAACGGATTTTGATGTGGTTCTTTTGAATAGATAAAGTGATTCTTAAGGAAGGTTTATATGTATAATACATGTATATTGTGCGAAGCCGGGGTCGCTAGTGACAAATAAACATGACGTCATAATGTTCATAAGGGCGTAAATTTCAATAAAACCTCATCTTTTCCATCAGACTCTTATCTGTGTCGCGGAGAACTTAACGGGTTACCGGGGCTCCGGCTCGACGTGCAGGAGAAGGAACGGGGTGGTTTTTGGTCAGTAAGAGTCTGACACTCCCTTCCGCCTGACGCAGTCATTCGATGATTTTCCCAGTTAAAAAAAATAAAACAAATCCATCAGACTCTTACACTCTTACCACATTATTTTCAAAAATATGTGTACAACCTAACATCTGAACACTGTGTACCTCTAGAGATCTTCTCTACACATTCCTGTACACTCCTGTGAACTTAAATTTCTACGCTGTTGTTTATTTATTCTTATAAGTTGTAGACGTGGCTCGAGTTTTTGCTCGTTGCTCGAGAATGCTCACAAATTCTCGAGATCTCGAGCTATGTGGGACGTAATGAGCGCATTTCTAAGGCTTTCCATTTAAGACTTGCACTTCGCCATTTATTGTTTTATACTCCTTTCTGTGCTTTTGTCAGGTTTCAGTATTTCAGTTTAAATTGCACTGAAGGCTGTGTGTGAAGGAAATTTTCTTTTGCCTGAAATTGAAGTTGGAAAACTTTGACTGAAATGTGTGTTTATATATTTAGGTTTAGCTTTTGATGTTATGCATGAATACCAGATTTCAAAAAAATAAGGAGGGACTCGATTTGACCTGTATTAATTTATGTTTGTGCCGATTTCGATGCAGTTTTCAATAAAGTGTTTGTATCACTTAGAAAAAGGTTTTACTATATTAATTAACCGACTGAAAAGAGGATGTTAAAGTCGGTTTTTTTGCATGTAGGTTATAAAAGAATTATACAGAGTAAACTGAACGTTCCAGAACGCTGACAAAAATAAATTAGTTTTAGTAATCGTTTTTGTTTTCATGTTATTCATGCAACATCAACCTTAAGCTTGAGCTTTGAGCTTGATTACAACTATTATGACATGATATACGCATTCAAATCTTAAATTTTTAAAAAATAAATATTTTTTATTACTGTCAACTGTCTGCGTTTTTTGGGAAACTTCCATTTACACTCTTTTAAAAAAAAACAGTTAGTTCAAGGTGACTTACAAATGTGTACGCCTAACAATTACAGAAACATAGTTACCATTCAGTGTTCTAGTCAAAGTAACAAAATATGTGTGCCTCGTAAGTACTTGTGCTATAAAATCAAAATACACAACTTAATACACTAAAATTATAAAAAATAAACAAAATAAAATTCAAACCCGTAACATATACATACATATTAAATACATACATACGAGGTGTTAACTCCCGCTGAAAGCCCTGAAAATCTTCACAATCTTCACTGAAAGTACAATTAGAATTAATGAAATTAATACAACACGTGTAAGCACTTACTTAGTCACTCACACAAGTAAGTTTTCACTTAAGTTAAATGTTGAATTTGCTTACGATATCTACGTGACGTGATGAACTTCAGTACGGTTGACAGAGCAAGGAAGCCGCGCTGAAATACAGGGGAAATTAAATGTAGGTGAATTAATGTTGAAGATTACTCGCGTAACTCAGCAAAATACGTTTTGAGAAACAGTTTTTACTATCTTTTTTTTAAGTTACATAGGCTCTGGACGTGTTTCCTAAGACTTGAGTTTCGAAAATCGAAACAAAAAAAATTTTTATTTCGCATACACAAACAGTAAGGAAAAATGATTAGCAGCCAACACTCAACATTGTACAGTCGTTAATCACACACCATCTGCGTAAAACTTCTAAAAGAACACAAATAAATAAACACCTTAATACATTCACGATAAAATCCACAATTAATCACGAACATCTGTTGATATCTTTTTAATATCCCTGTAAACCTTTTTACCTAACGTTACGTGCGTGTGTTCAACCCATTTATTTGCGGATTTGATGTTAAAACATATTTTCAATTAAACTGGGGATCTAATTAAATCGTGAAAGGAGGCAGTTTTCGACTTGTGTAACTTCGCCTACGTGTGGCAACATATGATAAGACCAGCGTAATCAGACCTCCCATACACCCCTCTTCGTTCACACACCCTGAAACAAAAGGGGCAATTCGATAAAGATTCAGAGGTCACCTACAGCGGTCTTGTTACGATTCGGTAGGAATACAAACGATCCCACTTAAAAGTTTTATGGATTCCGTATAAATTCCATTAACATTTTATGGTTTTACATTTTAAACAGATGTTTTGTAGAAATATTTCACGGTGCAATCTCGTCTCGTATTTACACAGATGGTGTTACTTTGAAACAACTTCTATCGTCAGGGGATTAGAACGAAGTTTGAGTGCAATTAAATTAAACGATTTAACGTAGCGCATTATTTATAATTTATGTTAATTACTGTTTTCAAAATGCCTCTCTGGTTGAACCAGCAAAATTTCTTACCGCATGTTGCTTCAGGTTACTTTTTCTGAGTGGACTAAGTCAACGTCTTCACATGCATAGAAGTAAAGAATTATATAGGTAGCGATGTAACTTATAACTTATTCGTGACAGAAAACGGACACACAAACAATTTGGTTCTGAAATCAAACTCTAAGTTACATACTGAGTAGTCTCACTAAGAACTACTGGAACAGAAACAAGTCAGTCACGAAACGAATCAACAAGAAACAATTCTTGCAACAGAACAAAACAAGCTTTCATAAAATTGATTCAGAAAAGAATTCCCACATGATTATGTTTACCTATTCGTCTCAGTCATTGTGTAGTATCACAGAAGTGGTCTTATTTTGTAAATAAACAAAGCTGTTGTTATTGGCTAAAAGTGAGTGAAGAACAGTCAATGATTTGTTGCCGGTAGCAATGGACGGGAAGATATTTTCCATATTGTTCCTTGTGCTATCTCCTGTGCTTATTGTAAGTTGGTTTTTCTTTTAAGTGTTTGTAGTTTGTGTGTTTTTTTCTTGTAGATTAGATACACTTTTATTAATTATGGAATTTGAAATGACTGATTTAAATGTTACTTTTCTTTTCTATATAACAAAAAACGTATCTAAACCGAAAAATCGTACAATACGAAGAAAGCCTAATAGAACGGATCAAAGGACCAAAATATACTCAAATTTCCCAGTAAATAAAATGAATTCAAAACAAATTCACGCCATTTTAAACTTTAAGACAAATTAATACAAGAACCAAATTCCATTACAGTCAGCATGGACCGCTTCAAGAGAAGAGAGGAGGGACAGAGAGAGAATGCACGACCGGGACGCATCAATCCATCGGAGAAGCATCCACTACCACTCGAAGAGACACATGCTGCCTGAACCAGATGCCAAGAGAAGAGTTACTACGCCACGAACAAGAGAGTTTAGGAAGAAGGTAAATCTACTGAAAGATCACAAGATTGATCTTGTAATTATCTCTATCTATCTTTACAAATAGGGATAAGATAAGAAGATATATTACTACATATGTCAAACCCAATCGATTCACATCCATTACATAATTTAATAAGGAATTAAAAACAGGTTAAGAAATAGTGCCCAAAAATTCTTTTGCTCGTTCTTCTTCATATGAATCTAGTAAGGAAATTTTAAAGTTTTCTTTGACGCACAGATCATTGGGACCAAATGTACGGAGGAATAAATATTTTCTGATACAAGTATTTTATTAACTTTATTAATTGGTAGCGTTTGATACGTATGTAATATGAAAAGCAATTTAGTTAGCTTTAAAATGAGAGCATTTTGTTGTAAACGGACTTTTTAAAAGTTATATAGGGTTCGATAAAATGATAAAAACGCCAGTAGTTTCTTTGCTCCCAAACGTACTTTTAAATATCCTTGGCCTACAATTATGTTGGTCAAATATCGAGTCAATTAACTTAAGTCACATTCTTTGATCACGTCAAATCGTTGTTATACATTGTTATAGTGTAGACAATCAAAAATAAACCTAATACACAAAAATTTCAAAGTTACGTATAACCAATTAAAAAACTTTCATTTCAGCCGTCAGGCCATTTGACTCCCTTAGAAGAAGATGACATCGACAATGATGAAGTGATATCCGTCGCCATCGGTCCTCCTCCAATCCGACCGAAATACGACAAAGTCCACTGGAAGCACCCTCCCAAGACAGTCACACACAACGTATCAAACTCCACAGCGTCCAACATCGTGAAAGACGTAATCGTGCAACTAGGAAGAGAATTCCTATCCAGACAAGTGAGTGAAGACTTTGTTTTCGGACAATACGTTGGCAATGCAATGAAGAATCTATCAGGAGAAATTAAACTGCGTATGCAACATGAAGTTTTGGAACTTATAGTGAAGTACCAGAAGATGAATCGAGGTGAACCTGCTAAGCCAGACGAAAAGAATTCCAATGTTAACAATAGTATTAACAATAGTAATCCTATGCCAATACTAAAAGATATGAAGATAGAAAAAAAGTTTACGCCTGCTAATGACACTGAGGACACATGGCCTGATTTCTCGAACCTAGCTAAGATTGTCGGTTAAATAGATGTTAATTGTAGTGAATATACATTTATATTTTATTTTTTATTCGTGTTTCATTTTATGATTAAGGTACATATTTTCTTTGTTTGTTATAAATTACTCGGCGTCCGGATCATGGTCTATAACAATCTTCACATTACACGCTATCTTAACTTACATCTTATTTTCTTAGTTTTTCTCAGAATTATTTTAAAAAACGATATATTTCATATGCGATAGAGATTCCTAATGTTTTCATTTTCGCTGTTCTTTTTGTTGATCATAAACCAAATTTCAATTTCTCGAAAACAACTTCAGGGAAAAAATAAAATACTGTCAATATAACGTTGTTATTGTACAATCAACCGAATACATTTGGTCGCTATACAAACTCATGTATTTCAATTTCTCTGTATTCATTATTAATGTTACGTAAACCATAATCACATTCTATCGAAGTACATGAAATACAATAACAACACACTGTAGTAATTATATAAAACCGAAAAATGAAACTGAAATAGTGCCATTTTTTGAGGGGGAAAATCAAACCAACCCGTTCAGTCCTCCGCGGCTCCGTATCTGCATCAGCCCTTTTGGGCCCCATCTGTGGTGGTCTTATTGCACCGTGAGGGGCGCGCGGAACGTGACGCGCCGTTCGGATCTGGTTCTGGTCGGACGACGAGTCATCTGTGCTCGCCGTCCGCAGGCCTGTGCTTATGGTGGCCAGAGGTCGTCTCGTAATCCCCGACGCCCAGTGTCTCACGTGAGGTGGTTCGTTTCCTCACGCGCCCCGCCTCCTCCATAGGTAGCATGACTGTTTCGCAGAAGAAGGAGACGGCATCCCAGTCCCCCTCGCTCCGTACCATAGTCTGAACCAGAGCCGGACGCGAGAGATCGCCGTCGCCGATCACATCCTTGAGTACACGGAGGTGCTCAGCCCATGCAGGGTACATCGCAACCGTATGCTCCATCGTATCCTTTAGGGCGGTCGTCGCAGTGACGACACCTAGGTGAAAGAGCGCCTTTAAGCATTTTCGCCTACTACCTCTACATATTAATAAACAAAACCCAACAAGAGTTAAAGTCACCTTAACATTTCCTTGAAAATATCAAAATTCAGAGACCCAATAATACTTTACACAACCCGGAAATCAAAACCCGAATCCATTGTTCCATTGTTTCCATTGTCCTCAATCATTACGAATTTTATTTCTCAGAACCCTTTAATCAATAATTTTATTTTCATTAAATCTTTGTTCTGATAGATAATGATTATAATCCGTTCTTGACAAAGGACCAAGTTGAAAATGTTGTGTACTCGCCAACTGGCATCTGACCGCAATGTTTGACTTTGGCCCTAAGGGACGAAGGATTAAGCTGAGATTAAAGAAACAACGGAGATATGCTTGGAAACACTTGGCTCCAAAGGGTCCGAAATTGGACGGGTAGTATGTAGTGGATATAGATGTTTTAGTTATATTGTTCCTTGTTAGTCCAGTGGTCGAGTGTAGTATTGATCTGGAGGTTCTTTGGTACAAAATGTTGTTACTGGCTCGCTAATTTGTAAATCACATTGTTGTGTGTGACGTAACGAGTGTGAAGAATGTTTTAAGTTGCAGTGCCCAGAAATGTATGTGTTAACATAACTTAAATTCTGATAAATTAAAACAAGTTGTTTGACATTTTTCAAAGTGTCTTTACAGTACACGCATTTCTCGGTATGTTGGCTATTCTTGATTTCAAACAGTTTTCTACTTACTTCTCATAGGTTTGCTAAAAAACATCAAATTCCGATTATATCGACCTCTATCATCATCGTCACAGCAGCCACAGGACGTCCACTGTTGAACATAGGCCTCCCCCAATGACTTCCAGATATGCCGGTTGGAAGCAACCAGCATCCAGTACTACTACATCAACCGCTAGTTCAATACATATCTCATTCCAAGACAAGTTTCCCGCAAAATACATCCAACAAAATGAACAAAATGTAACCTAGCAACCGAGCACACACAACCCTATTACTACCGGCTTAATTTCTAATTTCCAATAACATCACGTTCGTACTTTTTCACAAATCTTCAACCTCACCTTTATTATATACGTAGGAAAATATGTATAGGTACCTAACTAGTGTAATCGCATTAGTGTAATAGGATTATGGCGACCGACTAGTGAACAAAATGTTCTATAGTCAGCCATTTTGATTCGACACACGGTACCCCCTTCTTTTGTTTTAGCTCGCTTTGTTTTGGGATTTTGTTAAAACCAACTTGTGGCCGATGTTTTAAGAGGACGGGTTGAAGTATTGTGTTCTAAAATGTGTTTGCTTAATCAGGTTTTACTATATATTTGAAGGTCAAAAGGGGCAAAGGTGAAGTTAAGGTTACTTTATTTTATAACTTAATCACTAATTGTAATAATAAAGATCAATCATTGTAATGGTTTATTGGACTGCCTCGTTGCCGGGTGGTCGCAAGTGCGACTGTGTGGCAAGGAGTCTCGGATTTGATTCTCAAGTCGGACAAAGTAATACTGGTTTTTTTTACAAATCTCAGTTGTAGCACGGAGTTTCGATTAGTACCCGGTATATAACATTAGGCTTACCCCCTATTACATGGGACTCATAACATAATATTATGTATGTATGTATATATCTATGTATGTGATCGTCTTGGTATCTACCATAAATTATTATCTACATATAAAAGAATTCACTAACAATGACTTACCACCATTACAATATAAAAGAATAAACATTCGAACTAGTGTTATCCCTGGAGTATATTATCTTTGTATTTTTTATTGGACAGGATACTGACCTCCACTACCCTACAATCCCCTATGGGCACATAGCCAAAAGGGTGTTCAACTGCCCGTGGGACGGAAGAGAAAATCAAACGAAAGAATTCTGATAAAATATTTTATTATCTTGGTTGCTAGTACATAATTTTAGACCTTTTCTGTATTCATAAGGAGACTATTTATGATCAATATTACTTTTTATTTTATTTCTATAGTAATTCAAGTGTGGGAGAACCATGCTTCGGCACAAATGGGCCGGCTCGACCGGAGTGATACCACGGCCTCACAGAAAACCGACGTGAAGCAACGCATTGTGTTTCGTCGTGTGAGTGAGGTTACCGGAGGCCCAATTACCCTCCCCTTCCCCAATCTCCCCAATTCCTAAATCCCCAACGATTCTCAAACTCCTAATCCCTAAAAGGCCGGTAACGCACTTGTAATGCCTCTGGTGTTCCAGGTATCCATGGGCGACGCCGATTGCTTACCATCAGGTGATATAAAAAAAATTGGTGATTTAGTTATAATAAAAATGCTTCAACGAAATTCATTGAAATCTTCCACCTTTAGCCTAAAAATGCTACGGTTGTACTCTATTTAAAGAAAAACCTAATTTTCTGCTAACGGAGTCTTAGCCTCAAGAAATTGTCACCACTACGAAAATAAATGACGACGCTTAAACGTCAGGTCAAAGAAATAAGCTGTCTTTTCATCAGTGGTCGACTCGACACAATCAGTTAACCATTTTTACTATACTCTTTTATAGAACAACTTTTAGCGTATTTGGCAAGTATAATTGATTAAGTTTTCCTCCATACTAACGACTATATTGTGTATGAAAAATTTCTAGGTGGGTTAAGTAGGTAAATTGTAATTTGGAAAACTTACTCCCGCATTTACAATAATAATTAATTAAAAACTAGTAAACTAATGTCCAAATTCTCAATCGCCACTCAAATTTAAGTCGCGCTTAAGTAAAATTCGGTCACTACAAATTCTTTGTAAGATGATAGAGTTGGCACAATAATTAAATACAACTTAAAATAGAGTAGCCTTTCAGTATTCGGGCGTAGCCTCTCCACATCTTTTTATCATTCCACAAGCAAAACAAAAGCCAAAGCAATAAAAAACTTAATTGTCACACTTTAGAATCCAATTGAAATGAACAGGAGTGCACTAAATTCTGTACACCTTGCCAGGTGTTTACATAATTACGGCTTCTAACATTTATGCAGGCAGACTCGAGTGGAGTGCTCTAACTAATGGGCCACCGTACTGTCCTGTTATTTTAAATTGCGACTACGTTCACAGAGAGCGAGACAGAAGCGAAAATTGCTCCAAAAATGAAAACGCTAGCGATTCTTGTACAGTTAAAAGTAAATTTCGTCGCGTTTGGGATAAAAGAAGCACACTAGAGATTTAAGTGGTGTCTGTCTAGTGATAGTGTTAAAATAAATAACATAACATAACATCACGCATTTTTCCCTTGAATGGGTAAGCAGAGGGGCAAATTATGGCACTTAATGCCAATGTTAAAATAAGTGTAATGAAAGAAGTTGATTTAAAAAAAGTATAATTTAGAAATCAGATACCGTCATAGCAGTGTATGGTGTACCCTGTAATTTGCTGGTGCTGGTTACTCTGTAACAAATAAGGATTTTGTTTAAGGATTAATTATTATTAGGAGATTAAGGCAACTATGTTATGCTGCGGAGACCCGCAGTCCAGCAATGAAATGTGAATGAATGACACAGTGTGTTAACGTTCAGGACAATGAAAGCTATTTAAGATTTCAGATAATTTTAACAACGCTTCGTATGTGGTTCGAATATACATACATGTTACATGAAACAAAGCTACAAAACTTATAGAAAAATCCATTGCCTGTTTTAAAAAGTAGCGTTAAAATTTTTGGGTCTGATGAATTTTCTCACACGAATGAGGAGCCTACGGCTTTGTGTGGTAATGATATGAAAATTTGAATTAAAATAATTCAAATGCTTTCCTTTGGAGCTCCCAGTTATATGGCCGCTGAATTTTCGGTTTTAATAAGTTTTTTGTAGTTATTGCATATTTTGTTAAGTGGTTTTTAGGGTAGACAGGGTACTTACTGTATTGTTGTTAACTCTTTATAATCCTCTACTACTGCTACAGAATATACATATAATTTCTATACCATTAACGATTAATTTTTGATGCTCTCAGCCGAAAATAAA